AATTTCTTCAAACTTCATCCTCCTGTTTCTCAGAAACTAATCATAGGGTTGCTTTGGTGCCATGTACACTTTTATTCCGGAAGACAAGAAATATATCATATTATAATTTTTAGGCAAACCGACTGGGACCAATTTTCCATGTGTTTTCTGCCTGGTACTTTCTGCTTATGTGTATAGTTTTAATTAAAAGAAAAACAAGCATGGAGAAGGGAAACTTTATTATAAGTAGTGTATTGTACCATACGATAATGAAAGCATAGGAAAAAGTATTTTTTCATATTCACCGAGATGCTAAGAGAAAGGTGGTGTAAAATTAAAAAAGTGATAATAGATATTTGAATTCATATTGTTGTGAAAATAATGTTGTTGTAAGTACAAAACACAGAACTACAATTTTTCCCAAATATAGGTTTATGGATATCGTGTCACAAAAGCGTCTATTTTCATAAGATTATCCGACCGGGGCTTTTGAAAACAACTTTCAGTCATTGCTGAGGAAGGCTGTATCTCGAGAATTGAGTCGGTCTGTGGTCTACAGTACAAAAGAAAGTTATAAAAACAACCCGATGAATAATTATTTCGAACTGGCAGGATAACAATCAATGACAGTGAAAAGAACAGCCTGCCATTTTAAATCGGACTGACCAATCAACAATGAGTTGCCTAGTCACAAGTGGTAAATGGTGACGTCGCGCTAGTAGCGCTGTGTTTCGATATTTTAGGATTTACCGTGTATTTTTGCCATTCATCCCCTTATTTTACGGCGCTGGTGACGTTCTTCTGTAGCAGCATAGATTCAATATAAAAATTATTAGCCAATATTTCAATTATATGCATATTTTCTATTGTATACATTTTTAACAACATGGTAATTAAATTTTTAATTTTCTTGGATACTGCTCGCCACCATAAAGTACAATTTTCCGTCCAGCCATAGATATATATTGCTCTGGAAGAGTCTGACACGATCTTCCTATATAAATATATATTTGCAAGAATGATTTTTCATTATTAGTGGAACCCCTGCCAGTGGTGGAGGTGGCGGAGCAGCACAGAAAATAGCCCCGTATGCAACTGATGAGGCGCCACCATTCAAAGTTCCTACCCGTTTGCCTTGCACCTGCGCGACATGTGAATGCGAAACCTGCAACAAGAACCCGCCACCACCTCCACCTGGAGCAGAAGCAGTCAGGTAATTTGCAATGATACCATTTTCGTAGAACGAGGGGGGTGGTGTTTTCGAACGTCGAATTGTCAATGCCACGTGCGAGATAGCTAAAATGTCGTACGAAACTTCTCGTATCATGCGACAATAAACGAAACGTTCAAGATTTATTTAGGAACCAGCTAGTACCCGACATTTTGTATGCTTAAAGTCTTTAAAATAACTAAGGCCCGTATCGTTAGTCGTCCCTACAATTGCAGGGCGCGTTTATGGCCTCCTTGATTGTCATACTTCTTTCTCTCCTTCAAAAATTTCTAGATTACACTTGTCCCGTGTCAGCGTCAGCGCTCTCCTATTGTGAAGATATGTTTTCTTTTTTAATTGTAGGAAATTTCAGGCTGATAAAACATGATATAACTCAAAAGCAAGCACAATTTGATGCAAATGGATGTTTGTGACATAACCTCAAAATAGAGCGCTGACACGGAGAAGTAGAAAACTATGACAATCAAGGAGGCCATAAAGGCGCCCTACAATTGTAGGGACGACTGACGATACGGGCCTAAATAGAATGGAAATAGCACATTCGACTTACAGTGTAAAATACCTGTCTGATTAGTCTCTAGTTAGAAAAGGACCATGCCACAAAATCTCACCTCAAGTCTACCCTATCTTTATAATATTGCCTTTTTCAGGTATCTGGCAGCATTTTCAAACAAACGCTCTAGTGTCCTTTAACCCCATGATACGACCCTGTAACAAAATCCGTTCTTAACTGACATCTACTGCCTATAAACTACTTCTTTGCCAAATTATCTCCAATAGGGAAACAAAGGAATTTCGTACAAACTTGTAATTACCTCTATCCCCCTTTAATCCGGCGCTTTCGCAAAATCCGTCCTTGAGCTACCTTTCTGCCAAATTCCATATTCATAGGTCAAATAGTTTTCGAGACACTTTTCCATATATCTGCTTTTGGCCCCCTTAATCCAGCCCTGTCGCGAAATCCAGTTTATGCTGACATGTCTTGTCCGTGAAATACCTTAATGCTAGATTTCGTGTTTATAGGTTAAATAGTTTTCGACATAAATTTCGATAAACTGAAAACGTGACAAGTTTCCCCATAGAGATATCCAACCCTCTCATCAACCTCATCTTAAGAACATAATTTCTGGAATTGTTCATTAATATCAAAACATACGCCTACTTGTAGGCTCAACCCTCACTTCATCCGTTCGAGGTGAAATTTCCAAAATGTCTTTGTAATTGCCCATTTACATTAAATAAAAGAACCGAACATTCAAAACCCATATTTGTATCTCCAAATTGAGTAATAGCTTTCCACAGTAACCTCCTCCCCCTGTTTCAACCCCTTCAGGTTTTATTTTCGCAGCAAAAGATAGATTATGTTTGTCTCCAAGATCTACTCTAGAGCTGCTCTGACATTCATTAAAATCGGTTCAGTCGTTCTGGCGTGAAGACATTGAAACATACACACTTTCGCATTAATAGTGAAAGAATGGAGTAACTGCACGTTGTGAATTCCCTATTTATATACCCTCACTGATTTTGGTCGGACCATTAAGCCGTTTGGGATTTAGTTCGTGAAATTCATATTTCAACCTTATTTCCCGGGATAAAAATAGTCTATGTGCTATTCCAGACATTAATCTATCTTTCTATCAAACTTCATCTAGGTCCGCAGGTTAATACCGTAAAAAACCTATATTATGTCAAAAAACCGACAATGCGTCAACTTGCTGACTAGATAGTTTCCTAGTGTGTAAATAGTTCATTCCGCGATTGCTCGCTATGAGCGCTGTGACCGTCACTAAAATGGTCATCTCTATAGGAATCACTAGACGACATGCTCAATGACCAGCTGCAACTCAGTTCCCAGCATGCTTTCTGGTTGCATAATGCAGAGATAGTATGTAGAGTATATCTCTCAGAATATGTGACAAAGAAAAGTAAAATCGCTTCTGGATAACCGTGTGTATTGGCCTGCATATGTATAAAATCAGTGATATACTAAGTGACATATAAATCCGAACACCCAGTTAAAATGGTTTTATTTTAATAAAAGTTAGTGAATGTATTTATCTTACTGTAAATAACAAGTGAAAAAATTTTCAGTCTTATCAGTTGGACATTCCGGTTTTTATACTGCTTTTTTTTAATTCACTAACGCTCTAAAAATGAATATTTCAGCCGTAGTAAAGAATCAACGTTGGCGGATTTTGGTTCTTGACATCCTTCACGATCGGTTACGATGCCTAGAGTACGGAGACCTGTACGATTTCGTCAACTTAGTGAGTTTGATAGGGGCCGTATAGTGGGACTTCGGGAAGCTGGACTTTCTTTTCGGGCAATTGTAGTTAGAGTGCAAAGAAGTGTAGACACTGTGGTTAGGTGTTGTCAGGCATGGCTTCGAGAAAGCCGTACGCAAAGAGCAAGGGGCACTGGATGCCGCCGTAGAACAACAGACCGTGAAGATCGCCGCCTAAGATTATTGGCCTTAAGGGACCGTTTGTCCACTACCAGGTCCATTGCAAATGAATGGTTTGCAGAACACGGAAGAACTATTGGCATGCGAAGTGTTTACCGACGAATGAGAAGTTTTGGCTTGTTTTCATACCGGCCACACTGGGTCCTCCCTTTAACTCGAGAACACCGACGTAATCGCCTTGAGTGGTGCAGACAACGGTCACTCTGGGATCAGGAATGGAACAGTATTGTCTTTAGTGACGAGTCTCGATTTTGTTTAGGCATGCACGATGGTCGTGCAAGGGTTAGAAGGCGACGTGGTGAAAGGAGGAATCCACAGTTTTTTGTTGAAAGACATGTTCATCACACTGTTGGAGTTATGGTTTGGGGTGCTATAGCTTATGGTTCCAGGTCACCTTTAATCTTCATCAGAGGTAACATGAACGCGCAGCGTTATATCCACGAAGTTCTAGAACCCCATCTTTTACCCTATCTTGACACCCTGGCAGATCCAACTTTCCAACAAGATAATGCCCGACTACATGTTGCCAGAGTCACAATAGACTTCTTTCAACATAATGATGTCACATTGTTACCATCGCCACCAAGATCTCCCGACTTATCCCCAATTGAGCACGTGTGGGATATGATGGGTAGGAGATTGCTCAATTTGCAACGTCCTCCTCAGACTCTAGACGCACTTCGAGAGGAGTTGGTGGTTGCCTGGAATGAGATACCACAGGAGGACATTGACCACCTGACAAGAAGCATGCCTAGGCGCGTTGGAGAATGCGTAGCACATCAGGGTGCAACCACACATTATTAAAGGTCAAAGGGCTTTAAAGCAGTGCAATCATTTTGAAATTTTTATCATTTACTTATTATGCTTCATTAAGTACTTATACAAAATTTTATTAAAATAAAACCATTTAAACTGGGTGTTCGGATTTATATGTCACTTAGTATATTTGCTATGTGAGAAAATTATTACTGAATACGCTGTCCATGAAGTATATCTATTAGCTGTACCAGAAGGGCTCTTTGTATTGTCTTTTCTAAAGAAAGGTTATGTTTATAGTTTAAATCGCGATTTTTGTGTTTTCAAAAACTTTGAGAAGCATTCCGGGAAAGCACCACCAAGCTCGCGTTGTGTGTAATTACATAATGTCACAAAAAATCTATATAATGTCAAAAAACCGACATGTCACTTTCCAAGAGACGTAATACCTCTGCTATTCAGCCATTTTGGCGTGATAAAGTAACAAACATCCACACTCTCTGACTGTTCATACTAGTAGGGAACTAGGGATATTACTTATCTTTATTTTGCAACTTTACAAACACATGCCTATCTTGTATATCTATCACTTTGTGCCGTCAACACCTTAAAAAGGTAAATAAAATACTATTAGTCCACGGACCTCGGTTGGCCGCGTGGGTCAGAGTGTCGTGCTACTGATCAGCCGGCCGGCCGGGCCGCGAGTTCGAATCTCGCCTTCGCCATGGATGTTGTGTGTTTGTTTTAGGCAGCAGCGGTGGCCGCAGTAGTAGACTCTTCGGTCTCCTGATCAGTCGCCGTGCGCTGTGCGGGTTCAAGTCCCGTCCCAGGAGAAAGGTTTCTCTTGGCCATGGATGTTGTAATTGTCCGTAGGTGGTAGATGGTCTCTGACTGTCGAACGCGGAGGTACCACCCGGCGGTTCTCGTAGGCGGAGCCAGAATGTGTGCATGTTGCATGCACACGTGTTCCCTCGCCAGAGTCCGTGTGGCGTCCCCCCTTTCCCATGTATCCAACATAGCCCCACGGTACTCAATGGGTGTTTAGGCCTTAGGTCTTCGTGGTAGTTGGAGTATAAAAAAAAAAAATATGTAATATTGTGTAGTTAAAGTTAGCTTTGTCACAAGAATGATTGTATTGTTCAGTCAACAAAGCATATTTATCTATCTATTTATCTAAGTGAGCAGACACAATAGTTGTCAAGAAATAAGTATAAAATTTGTTAAACTTTCTGGACTAAAATAAATCGGGTAGTTGATGTAATCGCATGTTACAAGGCTTGATTAATGGATTACGGTCTGCTGATACTTATACTAAGTGACATATAAATCCGAACACCCAGTTTAAACGGTTTTATTTTAATAAAAGTTGGTGAATGTATTTATCTTACTGTAAATAACAAGTGAAAAAATGTTCAGCCTTATCAGTTGGACATTCCGTTTTTATACTGCTTTTTTTTTAATTCACTAACGCTCTAAAAATGAATATTTCAGCCGCAGTAAAGAATCAACGTTGGCGGATTTTGGTCCTTGACATCCTTTACGATCGGTTACGATGCCTAGAGTACTGAGACCTGTACGATTTCGTCAACTTAGTGAGTTTGATAGGGGCCGTATAGTGGGACTTCGGGAAGCTGGACTTTCTTTTCGGGCAATTGCAGTTAGAGTGCAAAGAAGTGTAGACACTGTGGTTAGGTGTTGTCAGACATGGCTTCGAGAAGGCCGTACGCAAAGAGCAAGGGGCACTGGACGCCGCCGTAGAACAACAGACCGTGAAGATCGCCGCCTAAGATTATTGACCTTAAGGGACCGTTTCTCCACTACCAGGTCCATTGCAAATGAATGGCTTGCAGAACACGGAAGACCTATTGGCATGCGAAGTGTTTACCGACGAATGAGAAGTTTTGGCTTGTTTGCATACCGGCCACACTGGGTCCTCCCTTTAACTCGAGAACACCGACGTAATCGCCTTGAGTGGTGCAGACAACGGTCACTCTGGGATCAGGAATGGAACAGTATTGTCTTTAGTGACGAGTCTCGATTTTGTTTAGGCATGCACGATGGTCGTGTCAGGGTTAGAAGGCGACGTGGTGAAACGAGGAATACACAGTTTTTTGTTGAAAGACATGTTCATCACACTGTTGGAGTTATGGTTTGGGGTGCTATAGCTTATGGTTCCAGGTCACCTTTAATCTTCATCAGAGATAACATGAACGCGCAGCGTTATATCCACGAAGTTCTAGAACCCCATCTTTTACCCTATCTTGACACCCTGGCAGATCCAACTTTCCAACAAGATAATGCCCGACCACATGTTGCAAGAGTCACAATAGACTTCTTTCAACATAATGATGTCACATTGTTACCATCGCCACCAAGATCTTCCGACTTATTCCCTATTGAGCACGTGTGGGATATGACGGGTAGGAGATTGCTCAATTTGCAACGTCCTCCTCAGACTCTAGAAGCACTTCGAGAGGAGTTGGTGGTTGCCTGGAATGAGATACCACAGGAGGACATTGACCACCTGATCAGAAGCATGCCTAGGCGCGTTGGAGAATGCGTAGCACATCAGGGTGCATCCACACATTATTAAAGGTCAAAGTGCTTTAAAGCAGTGCAATCATTTTGAAATTTTTATCATTTACTTATTATGCTTCATTAAGTACTTATACAAAATTTTACTAAAATAAAACCATTTAAACTGGGTGTTCGGATTTATATGTCACTTAGTAAATTAATTTGCATAAACAAAGGTTTTCTTTTTTGCCTTTTGTTTTTCCAGGTCCAATATCAACCAAGGTACGACGATTAGTTTACCTTTATACATCTATATGGTCAAATGATATTAGGCTGCTTCCATTATTATTTCCCAGAATTAAAAAGTATTGAAGAGTATAATACATGACCACCGCATTTTTTTGGGTTTCTACTTTCGCGCTACCCCTCACGTGAAAATATTTATCAAGAATCTATTTTCTTACTTATCTAGTGTGCCTCTTCAGTCTGGCGACTGTACGTGTGAAGTGTGTAAGTGTCAACCATCAGAAGGCGGAGCACCATTTGGGGGTGGTGGAGCATATATGCCGCCGCCACTCCAGATACCAGTAGGATGTGATTGTGTGGTATGTAAAAGATTTGAATAATACTTCTTAAAACAAAGACCGATGGAAGTTAGAAATGATCTTTCAACAAGAATATGATCCCTACTAAACATTTTTTGATTTTACCTGAGGAACAACATTTTGAATCAGACTGGCGTTCGAATGTTCAACATACATATTATGGTAATATAACGTCATCCCAAAATACATGTTTTAACTATAAGAGTACGTTACAGATGTCAATTATTTACAGGTATGCAAGTGTTCTCCATGTCTAGATGGAGGTGGTAGAGGAGGCGGAGCTCCAGGTATCTATTTAAAATCTTGCTAAATACCATACCATTTATTGACCACATTATGTATATACCTACACTGAAATCCATATACTACTGTCGTCGTAATGTATACGAGAGAGAAGCGTCATAAGCGTGCAATACATATGTTAGAACGAGATAGAATTACCGCGTTGCTTAGCTAGCCGAGTGTCGGGGCCACGAACGCAGCTGCTTCTTGTCACGTCACCATGGGCGAACTCTATAACATACGTATTGCACGCATTATGACATCAGTGGTATTTGTTGGATTTCTCTGTATACAATGAACACGTGATGTCTTACAAACTATTTTATTATGTATCCGAGTGACGTCGTAGCATCAACGTACTCATCAAATGAATAGAAACAGAGGTTGAGCAATGTTTTCAGCAAACCTTAAGAATCAGCGATTAGATATATTTTTACAAATTATGTTTTTATATTTGCAATGACGGGTAAATTATATAATTTAACGTTAGGTCCATTATTTTTAATCACATTCAGTCGCGAGGGTGGATTTCTTAGGTAATTAAAATTTCGTAGTGCATGAGTGTGTATTTCTGCAGAGGTTTTATATTTGTTTAGTTTTCTGTGCACATAACAAAAGACTTAAAAAGTATAATTATAAATGGATAAATAATAAATTTTTTTATTAACATTCCCACAGCTTTGTATCTAGATTAACAATTTGTAAATAGAACCCTATTGTTTCGTTTATAAGGATATATCGAAATATGCAATAAAATTTAATGCTTTTTACTAAAAAAAAAATCATGTCTGGGATCCGGCAGAATGAGTTCCTTCTACGGTGTTTTTCACGAGTATCCATCACGGTAGAACAACAGTTGATTATCTAGTGATATTTCAAAACTCCCCATATCGACAAGTGACACATAGTTAATGCTTAGAGATCCGTCAACGCCAGGTAGACAAATCCGTATTTTGTTGTGGTTTTTTGTACACTACAGATTCATTTTGTAGTTGCTGACAGCTCTATCATTTAGAAAAAAATGCTACTAGCAAAATGGCTACTAATGATTGTGACTACATTTCAAGTCAAGTAGGAATAAAATAAGATAAACAGTTTTTGACTATGTTAATCATCTCTACTTTTTAGAAATTGAAACACCATGTGATTTTTAGGGACGATGAAACAGCCATACAATTAATTCAAAATATGTAGCAGTATATGACCGAATTGATACAGGTTCGATTTCCTGAATTAGGTCTGAACATTACTCAGGTAATTCAAACAAGTTAGAAACTAGAAAATTGTAAGTAATATGTACAACTACATTATCCATTTTTATGATAGGTTCTGCACATACTTAACCTGTGTTTGAATTACGTTACACTGAAGACGGACAATAAACCAGAAAAAGATGTCTATATTATTTTACAGATAAAACTAAAGCTTCTGGAAAAGACAACGCAACCTGTTCTATTGACTTACATCGCAATCAATAAATCCAAGATGTAACTATAATAATTTTCTAATAAACATTTTTATATATCTACTTCGTGCTTTTTATTCTCACATTTTCGTCACTTACAACTGTAATCCAGATAAGTGATCAACAGCTCTGAATACGGACCTGAAATTCATTATTGCCAACGTGTTAGACTGATACTAAGACGTCGCTTTTGTGAGTTTTCAAAACGTAATGAATACTCGTGAAGAATACCATACATAGCGTATCAGAGTGAACGGAATCTGTGTATCAGGATCTTGGACACACCCGCTGACAAGTTGAAGAGCATACTGTTGGTTACAATTTTTGTAATAAACTTTTTTAATATATAAAAGAGTTATCAAGCGTGAGCCCTCACTAAAAGCTCTTCATCTGAAATTTGGCATTACAAAGGGTGCTTGAAAGTTTTGCAATATGACTTGAGAAACATTTACAAGAGGCTGCATGTTAAGACATGTCCATGAGTGCATACTATCCGCCAGCAGCACATTTTGTTCAGCCGTATTGACAGTGTAGATTGCGGACTAAGGCATCGTGGTCAGTTAGTGAGATCAGGGTATGACTTTACTTGTGTTTTAAGCATAGACCAGTGCTTAGAAGAAGTGACGCTTCAATTAAAGAATGATTGTTCTCATTGTACGACTATTTTCAGGTGGTGCAGAGAACTCCAAAGGGGCAATTTCACTCTCGAGGACGCTGAGAGGGAAGGAAGGCCGTGA